ACTTCCTATATTAATTTTTATAAAATATATTTTCCCTATTCCGCGTTTAATTATATAAAAATAGAAATTTATTTAACATTTTTTAATGCAATTTATAAGATTTTTTCTGTATGGGATAAAACGATGTATCAGATTTATATAAATAAACATATCCTATAATTATTAAAATGCAAATTTACTTATGTCAAATAATTTTAGTTGTTTTAATATTTGAATGATAATTAAATCGATTGACTGATTAATCAATATGCACAGTGAATAACTGAAAATGAAGGGAATTCCAATCTTTATTATCTGACAGACTTGTTTTTCGATGCAGGTAAAGACTATGCGAACCAGTTTCCAATTAAGAAGGGAAAAAGAACGAACGCGTAACTTAAGATTTTTTTTTCTTTTATCATTCTTTGCTGTCCAAGCGACTGAGCAAAGATGAACCAATTTTGCACTCGGCTGAATTCATTACACGCCAGTTGGAGGCCTTGTTCATCCTGAGGTCGTCGTTTGCAGAGCTTCGAAGACTGTTTGTTGTATAATGTTGGTTGCTGTCTTTTCTTTCTTAAAAACGATGTCGAAATGAACGGAGTGAGACGTGAGAAAGGATATTAATTTTGTCAGCAGAATCAACTGGAGTGAAAAAAAAACACTACAATGTTCTTACTATTGACGAGGATACAATGTCATCTTGTCGTAGAGTTTACTTTGGTAACAGATTGAAAGATTGGTAACATTTTTATCTCTAGTTAAGTGACGCGGAAATTTGTTGCATTTAATGAATAATCCAATTAAAAACATTTACTTTCATAGCTTCTCATTAAAGTTTCATTAAACAATAATAGTAATGAATGAAGAAAGAATGATTTTCGAGTACTTTACTTACAGCTTCCAGCTTTTGTAGATGTCTGTAAATAATAGTTGCATATTTATCATTTGTTATCGAGATTCATATACCGTAGTTTCAAATATCTCATTAACTAAAACTAACGCAACATAATATAAAGCTAATTAAACTTTGATAAATTTTCCTTCCAATGATATTGTTATTGAAATTCTTCATTGAAGTATTCACTAACATTCGTATTAAAATTTATCAATATTTCTATTACCAGGAAGATAAATAAACATCTTTAATTAAATTTTTATGTACATTGATAAAAATAAAGGCGTCCGTGATTAGTACACAATACATGCAAATTGTTGTATATATCCTTAACAATAGTTTTATTATTTGTAGTTTTGGATTCATACAAACATTTTGTTTTTGGTAAAAAAGTAACTGGAAAGAATAAGAAAATGAATTATTATTATTATGAACCGAAATGTATTTTAACATAGTATTTTCTTTGTTCTTTTTGAAAAAGTTCTTGGTAATATATAATATTATTATAAGTTTATCAAAGGCTTGCAAAGATCAGCGCTGGCATTGCATCTAAACAACGTAATATAATAAGAAAAATTCGCAATAAGATCGATTCCGATCATCCGTAGAAAAAATATATGTCTTTGCATTATATAATACGGAAGAAAAGGATGTATTATTGCCTATTCTGCCAATATAAAACAAGGTTTCTGGGATTTTTAGTCAGAACTGGTCACCAAGTGAAAGATGAAAGTCACGGAAATACCTTCCGGCTGTGGAAGCCAATACTCTAAACTAATAGTATAAAAAGCGATTCGTGACAAAATCAACAAAGTAGAAATAGCTTTACATTTTTTCTTTAACAATAAAAATTTATTGATTTTAAAAAATTGATGATAAAAAATTTTGCTGCTTACTTCATAAAGTTAATAGAATAAATAAACTATCCTGTATACAAAAGCTTATAATTTGATTTTAATGTATTAATACGCACTATATAAAATCATCATTAATTTTCTCACAACAATGTTTTTCAATTTACTTTCCTAATATAGAAATTTCGGGATTGTTAGTTCTTGAAGAGCGCTTCATTCTTCCAAATGGTTGAACATCATCAACAAAGCTATTTCAGAATTTAACAAAAGGAAAATTAATTCTGTCAATCTAGACGAAAACTCGATTTCCTCTCTTACTATTCTTAACTTTCAATTTTATGAAAGTAAAAAATGTTATTAAATTTACAGAAACTACTCCGAGGCTCTTCTTAAGATGAAAATATTTCCGCTAAGTTTCCGTTTTTATCAAGAAGGTGGAAAGTCGAAACGTGATATCTTCACCTAGTAGCGTGATTGATTGATAACTATAGTATTTCTATCACGAACACAGACCTGTACTTAAGAACAGGTCTCTTCGGCGGGATAAGTGCCAGTTTGAAGCAGATTCATTTGACTATTTATCACAGATTTATTTCTCTTAATGCTTATTTTATCTATCAGAAATTCTTTTGAATATACAGTAAATTTATTTATATTACCAAAATATATTTTTGATATTTTATAAAATGTGTAAAGAATTTAAAATTCACAAAACATAATCTCATTACTCAAAAAAATTAAGCAATTTTAACGTTACATTGATAGTATGGTTCATCTAACATGAATCAGTTAAGTGTTTTTATGGATTATAACATACAAAAATCACTTCCAATTGATTTCCACACAAGTAAAGGAAAATAAAAAGATTAAAATTGACGAAAATATTAAACTACTTATTATTAATCTCAATTTATAGTTAGATTATACTGTATAGTTTATGTATAGTTTTATGTATAGTTTTTTTTATGTATAGTTTATAAATATAATTACTGATTATTTCTCTTCATAGGGACTTAATTTTTAAATTATATTTTTATATAGACATATTTTATATTATATTATTAGAAATTTATTATACTTTTTAGTAATTTTATTCATTTAACAGCCTTATACTATACAAAACATGAATAAAATAAAAGAATTACTATATCTTTATAATGTTTTCGACGAACTTATTGTTGATAAAAGTATCTGTTTGCATTTAAATTATCCAGAAACTGAAGTGAAACATTATAAACTACTTATTAAATAGATATCTACAGTTTTGAATTTGATTCATTTACATCAATTATAAATGAATTTTTGAGATTGATTAATTAACCTGGAATATTAACCTAAAGCAAATTTAATAAATTTGCAATTAAATTTCAATGAAAATATAAAGTTTCGTATTACTAAATGCGTCATAATTGTGATGTATTATATATTTACAAATGTTTATGAATTTTTAATGTACTACTATTATTTTAATAGTCAATTTTAAATTTCTAAATTCCAAAACGTCCATTAATTGGAATTTATCTTATATAATTTTAAGTAGTTATCTAATGTTATATAAAATATTTATTACTTTATTATTATTACAGTTCTGTTAATATAATATTTTTCTAAATATAACTTGTGTATTAATCATTAACAACTGGTAGATACACCAGGCGCTATCCGGGGTGAAAAGTAATAGGAAAAACAAACGAAAATCATATTAAAAGTTTGATTATTTTAGCCTATCATTGTCATGTTTATCACAAAGTGTCAGGGGGAACAGGGAAGAGGAGGATGTTTAGGTTTTATGATAGCCTTTATTTTCCACAGGGTCTTAGAGACTAACTCTGAAAAACTTGATCCAGCTCCGTCAGAGTTTAGGAGTTAATAGAAGGCTGAAATCAGGGAAAAAAGTGAGGTTTTTAACATTATGATAGCCTATATTTTCCTTATAGAGGGAATTTTAGTGCAAATTAGTCAGAGAGTTTAGGAGTGTACAGAGAACAGAGAGACATTCTGTTTATATATATGGATAAATTTTCAAAAATTTATTGACTTATTATTTTATTCATTTAAATTACTACAAGGTTTTTTCACTCTTTATACAGGGAACAAAATAATAGAATAGGATTACATCAAAATAGAATTATTTACAAAATTCGAATAATTAAATTTACAATATACAACAATTAAATAAACAAAAACCAGTGGCCAAACTGTGATGATCTGGTGCTATAATAGTACAGGTAAATATTGTTTTTAAGTACATTTTTCTATACAAAAATACAAAAAAAAACATACAAAAATTAAATTTTATTATTTTTATTTTGATTAAAATACAAAACTTAAAATTTTATTTCTTTTTGTATATTTTTGTTTAAAATAAAAATAAGCAACAGGTCGTCGCAGCTGGTCAAAACTAGATTAAATCCCGGAGTGAGACGTGAGAAAGGATATTAATTTTGTCAGCAGAATCAACTGGAGTGAAAAAAACACTACAATGTTCTTACTATTGACGAGGATACAATGTCATCTTGTCGTAGAGTTTACTTTGGTAACAGATTGAAAGATTGGTAACATTTTTANTGATGCCAATTCTTCACTTTCCTAAAATAGGATTTACTATTAAAAAAATTAATGTAAAAAAAAAATAAAACTTTTTTTTAGATAAATTACATTCGTTTTTGTCATTCAAATTATAATAATTTTATTTTTTAAAAAATAATAACGTGTATTATATAATGTTTATGTTGTTTTTTATACTATAAAAGTTGTTGTTATTAGTTATAAAATATTTATTAATAAAAAAAATAAATATTTTTTTATGGATATTAAAAATTTATTTGATTTACTAAATTTTGTCACAGCAAACATATAAAATAGGATTAATGTAAAAGTATGAAGTAATAAATAAATAAATAAATAAAAACAAGTAAAACTCACTAAAATAAGTAAATGAAAGAAAATTAGTGTCAAAAATATCATAACATAAATATTAAAATATGCATTAATTATTCATAAACTAAATATAAAATTAAGTTTAATATATTTATAAAGTAAATATTGAAATGATTGAAAAAATACAATATAAGTATACTATAATCTTATTTATATTAAATTTAACTGTTTTTATAATTAATATCTCTTTAAAAATGGTTGGAAATATTGATCAATATAACAAAGGAAACTGTCTAAGTATCGATATAAACCAACGTTTAATAAAAATTTCTTACAGAAATAATTTTTCAAATCTTGACATCTTAACAAATTCGTTTCTTTATTTACAGATAATGCTCAACAACTGCTTTTTTCGTGAAATGTTGGTAACTTGAGAGTTATAATAGATCCGTATCATGGAAGTTAACAAAGCTTTAAGCTTTCTTGCCAAGTTGGCCATCTGGTTAATATACAAAAATCCAAAACAGAAAACAAATTGAAAAGCTAAGTCTGCAACAACCGTTTATTTAAATTAGAGGCGAATACTTGAAACATTACAAAGACTTTAGTTAAATTAATGATAAAGAATGAGCTGAAATAATGAAAAAATTTCACACATGAATAGAATTTAAATATAATACTGTTATTAATTTCATTTAATATTTTTATGCTATTTTAATATTATTTTTTAAAAGAGTTTTATTACAATATCAACTTATCTTTTTTTTATTATTATTATCATAATCCTCTACTCCATTTTTCATAACATTAACTAAATTTTTTTCTGAAAATAAATAAGTGTCAAAAAATAAATTAAAATATAAATATTCAAAAGGATAATTGAATTTTATTATTATTAATTTTTGCAATAATTTTTATACAAATTTTTAAATAAAAAGGAGAAAAAAATGTTTAAATAATTACGATAATTAATAATAATAAAAACAGGGAAAATGCAATAAACAAAACAATGCTAGATATTAAACAATAAGTTTAAGAGTAATCAGAAAATTCAATAAAATAATCTAATAATTGAATAAACCATTTTGATTCAATCGATTTTACGAATTGCGTTTTCTATTAGATAATATGTAGAGTGGTAATAAAATTAGAAACGATCTAAATGTGTACTGNAACAATTATTTTTTGTAAATTTTTAATTGAAAGATCAAAAGTAATAGAAAAAAAAAGTTTCACTAAATTGAATTTTCTCTAACACAAAATCAGTCTGTAAACGTTTTACACAATCGTCTTCTGCACTTCTAGGAGATAAATACAACATCCAAAGTGCCATCTAATGTAAACTGGCAGGTCACGAATCGGACAATCAAAACAATCGACCGTTTCCTTCACATATTTATCTCTTTTCAACGATTCTCTGAATAAATGCAAGCCCAAGAGTTTTTGTCACAATTTCTGATTGATCTGGTGCAGAGAAAAGTTTGGCTTATCCTGAAAATTCTCTTTAGTTCTGTATAACTAATTTTATATTGTCGAAGAAATATTTTTATATACAAAATATATCATTNTAAAAAGGAGAAAAAAATGTTTAAATAATTACGATAATTAATAATAATAAAAACAGGGAAAATGCAATAAACAAAACAATGCTAGATATTAAACAATAAGTTTAAGAGTAATCAGAAAATTCAATAAAATAATCTAATAATTGAATAAACCATTTTGATTCAATCGATTTTACGAATTGCGTTTTCTATTAGATAATATGTAGAGTGGTAATAAAATTAGAAACGATCTAAATGTGTACTGTTAGTTATTCATTGAAAATATTACGTGTACTTAAAACTAATGCATTTGCTATAATCTCTGAAGAGAAAAATAATATAAATAAATGCGATTCTTTATAAAATGAACTCTGTTGTTATTCTAGTCGTTTCTTTAATTTTATTAAATATTACACTGACATTTTGTTATACATACAAAAGATTTTTCATATTTTCTCTATTTTTTTTTTTTTTCTGTAAATACGTGTTATGAAATTTTAACAAGTGAACGATATTTTGACTTTTAATAATTATTTAAATTTCCTTGTTTTTCTTTTTCTTTCTGTTTAATTTTCATAATATTTGTTTAAAGTATTTTAATGTAATAAAATAACAAGATTAAAACTTTTAAACAACTCATCTAATACTAATTTTCAGGGTAATGAAATAAATTAGTTCGGACTGTCTAGATAAACGATTAGGGAGAGAATTTAAGAACGATTACTTTATTTCTTCTAATATTTAATTTTACAATAATTGAAAAATAACTTTATATGTATATGTATTATCTACTTAATCCTTTATTCTTACCAAACATCTTTTCTTTTTGTCATTTTTTTGTTAATTTTTACTACATTTATGATCAGTCTACTGCATCTAGCCTTTATTTAAAGGCTATAAACTCTTAAATTTCTATTCTGAACATTTTAGTTCTTAGTTATTTTTTAGGTTAAGTCGCTAACAGCACCTGTTTTATTGCACATTTTCTTTTCTTCTTACCGTTAATTACTCTACGAATTTTTTTAAAGTTTTATATAAACATGTAATTATCCATTATTGTTAATATCATTAGAATTTTCTGTGGTATTTTAAGACTAAAAACTATCATTTTCTACTGGATAAATTAAGGAATTATTATAAAGTTTCTTTTTCTCGTATCGACTGTTTTACGATATTTTAAAACTGGGTGTAATATAATTCTAATCAATTTATAAATTTAAAAATAAATAAGTTGCTTAAGTTAAATTTTTTATCGATTTTTTTTAATATTAAATTTTTAAACCGATTACTTAAGTGAAAGAATTTCTTTTGTGAAATCTTGCATCAGGAGAGAGTTAAAAATAGCTTCAGGTGAAACACTAAGGACGTGATTAGTTATGGTAAATGAGTGTAAATGTTAGAACTTGGATTCCCAATGAGAATTTCATAATCTTATTAAACGAAAAACTATGTTTGTTTAGAAAATCTCAATTTATTTAGCATTAGATTAATTTTTTTTTATATATATAATTTAAAAACTGTCTATCCTCTATGTCCATTTTATATAGTTACAATTCTATTTTATAAATAAAAAAATATATATAATTATTATTGCTTAAGTTAGAGAAAAATCTCGATTTATTCTCATGCACCTTTTCTATCACATGTTTCAGCATTAAGTAAGTATTGGCATTCGTGTTCACATAATGTGTGTAATGGACCTAAGATGCTGGAATTAGTCGTCATTTTCTACCGTCTGCTGTAGCATCCTTTTCTTTCTTAGCAATCGGACCATGTGCAGATTAGATCTCTAGCAATTTACTGTCTGCCAAATACCTGGCTAAATCGATCTTTCAAACCTCCGTTCGATAGTCCATTCGCTTGACTCACCTGCACAACTACTTTCGCCTCTCTCAACAACTGCTAGTTTTTTCACCTTATTTTTTTTATATTTCTTCATTATTTAAAACTATTTTTANAACAATATTAAATAAAACATTATTTCAAACAATATTATATACATAAATACATGCACGTAATTTTTAATAAATTTTTTGATAATTTTAATAAGTAACATAATAATCAAAATAATGATAAACTTTCAGTACATGACATTTAAAAAAAAAAAATTCAAATTTGCTTTCATTTATTATACCACCAATATTCTGTTTAATGAAGTTGAGAAAAATAAACATTATTCAAGGCTGTTAAATGATGGAAGTTAATGGAGTAGAAATTGTATGATGAAAAGTCATATCTTTGAGAAAGATGTGATTTTGCATCATACAACTTTTAATTATGTAATCTTGCACTCTGAACCAATTATGATGTGTAGATAATGAAAACAAACAAAAACAAATGTCTTCAAACTCCTTCCGAGTTCTTCATCAGGATTTTAACAATTCCTCAATAATTCTTCATTTTGGAATAATATTTGAACAAGAGTTTGAAAGTATATATATAGTTATAAGTTCAAAAAAATTATTAAAGCCACGCCATGCCTGTGCAAAGAGTCATCCAACTGGGACTCAATGAACAGCTAAACCATGTTGTAATCAACTCTTGCCAGGACACTGACAAAACCATTTCCTCTTTATAATTTATGCACGTAGAACCATCAAAGAATCATTAAAAAACCTGATGAAGAACTTGGAAGGAGTTCAAAAATGTTTGTTATTGTTATCTACATACCGTAATTAGTTCAGAATGCATGATTAACTATATTCCAGTGTGGTGAGTGGTTGTTTAATTATGTATTGAGACAACCCAGAAAATATTAGATGTCTTCTCTGTCTTTGTTGATTAACAGCTTCTACATTCAAGATTTATTAACAGAACTATAAATGCAGTTGCAATAATCATTTTATATATATACATTTTGATAACTTTTAAAGTAAAGCATGTTTAATTGAAATTAAACATGCTTTACTTTAAAAGTCCTAAAGAACAATTACCAAAATTTGACTAGAGACAGTGCACAATTTTATTATATTACTAGAATTGAGGCAGTGTTGCATTTTTATAATTAAAAATTTTTTAATTAGTATTAGTACATATAAATTATATTTTGCTTCATCTAACCTCTATACATTTATATTTTTTGTTTTTAATGTTCTATATTGAAGATTTTGAGAATTGAGTTTCTAACAAATATTCCTATTATATTATAAGACTCATTTGTATTTCAAAATTGAATACAAAGAAAAAATCACTCATTTAATCATGAATTAGGGCATTATTACTACAAAGGAAAATAAATTCGGTTGGTTGATTAACTAATTAATTACAAGAAGAATCAGTAATTAAGATTACAATTACGTTTGTATAGATTATCAAAATTTCTACTCTGTTTATGACGGTTCTCAACGGAAAATTAATTTTGGTAAGATAGATTATTAGATTATTATTGATGTTTTCAAGACATAGATCACTCTTTAACCTTTAAAATTAAAAAGTAAGATAGAAATCTTTGATAATGAAAGATGAATTTTGAAAACTCTTCGAAATGTTTGTCTGGAGTGTTACATATTACATAAAGAATGGACAAAAAGAGAAACGATCCTTTAAAGTAAACCGGACAATTTGACAATGTAGAGATATCCAATCTAACGAGAAACTGTCGTGTCTTTTTTTAAAGAAACATACAATACACGACTTCTCGATAACAAAGCATCAAATTTTAAATGATTTTTTCAAATTCTTCTTCGGCAAGTGCGGAAGACTTTCTCATCTATCTCTTTATGGAACATCCGCCTTCTCATCTGTCACAAGAATCTAGATGACCGCATAAATGGACGTCGGTTGTTCCTTCCTTTCCACTCTTGTCCCTACCGGCAGCCTTATTGACAGATAAATGGTTATGGCATCTGACATTTGACCCCACTTCTCGCTCCCCTAATAATACCCTCCCTTCAGGGTCGTCCATGTCGCTTAAGGGGTCTTCCCTTTTTCCCTTAATCTTTTTTTATCATTACTTTTAAGCATTAATGATTTTGTTTGATGGAACAACATAAATTGTCATCAGAAGAAATTTATGTTAATGGCTATGATTTCCAATGGATTTTCTCCGGGTTCTTTTTTTACTAAAAAAATAGTAGATACTTTTTATTTTCGTTAGAGTCTAATATTTCATTTCTAGCAATTATTAAATAAAATCCACGGAGTCTACTTACCTTATTTATAACCGCTATTCTTCTTTCCAACGA